AGCTTTGTGCACAGGATTTTCAGGCTTGACTGCTAGTACCACATGGTCCCCCATGTCCTGCTATGTACAAGCACCAAGTACAGTTAGTTGTGACACCCAAATAAAAATAGGCAAACAAATCAAACAACCAAAAAAGCATCACCTAGGAAATAAAATACTTAAAATAAACATATATACATCAAAAGAGATGGCTATGCTATGATTTTAACAAATAGTTAACAGTTTGTTATGGGGCATATTTTAACTAAGTTGGTTATGGCTTCTACACAACTCTGTAATAAAATTAGGCATGGATTTGCTTCTCTGTACCTTTTGGTTGGATAATTTAGACTAGTGAAATAAACTGTTACATGATTATAAATTTGCTCGAGTGTGCCCAGTAACAGTCTCCATTGGAGACTTTGTTGCTACTGTGTTTGGCATATCCAATACATCACATCAGGGCGTTTGCCTTGCATGCAGCCAACATGGCCGACCCGAGTTCGATTCCTCCGCCCCTCTCGGAGAGCCCGGCAAGCTACCGAGAGTATCTCGCCCTCACGGCAGAGCCTGGAAAGCTATCCGTGATGTATTCGATATGCCAAACACAGTAATAACGAAGTCTCCAATGGAGACATTACTGGGCCCGCTTGAGCAAATCGATGAACAACAGGAGGACAGTGACAGTGACAGATGATTATAAATAAAGGGTTCTGAGATATATATGTATACTGTAATTAGTAAGATGCGAAGCATTGGTAGCAAAACCACAGTATTGTGATCTTTGAGGCTACTTGTTTTATTCTACCATGGTCACTACAATGAAATACTGACATGTAAAAAAAAACCAAGTCCCTGCAGGGACTGGAGAGAGTGCAAAGGGCTTGGACATTGGCCCGTAGGCCATGAGGCTTGGTGCAATCCCTCACATCACCTGGAACCCTGAGCATAGCTTCAGAACCTGCTCCCCAAACCACCGATGAAACAAATAAAAAACCCCAATAAAAACAAAAACTCAAAACAACCCAACAACATAAATTTTCAAATTGTGTGTGCACAGAGATGGTTGGCCCCAAAGTCAGACAAACTTGCTACAAAGTCCTTTACAGAGAATGCTTGCTGATGCCTCCTGGTCCAGAACACCAAAGGGCAGAAATACTGGCCATTACAAAGATTATTTGACAAAGTAGCTTCTAGCAAAATTCCTTGGAACGTAATTTCTACAATGGTTATTTTATAAAACTGAGAAAATGATGAAGAATTGTTGGGTTGGTAATTAACATAACTAAGGAGGGAGGAAAAAAAGGAATGACTAGCACTAAAATTTGTTTAATCTATCAAATTATTAAAATAGGTATCAAATTAACATAAAGCATTTAATAAATATGAGTAAATATACAAAATAACACATTAGTATATTATGATCTATTACATATATTAATATAAACATAGAAATCACCATAGTTTTAAAAATGCTTTATAAAAATAAAAATGCTTTAAAGTCTAACAACAATATAGTTTCTTTCTTTTTTTTATATTTTTGCTCTGTGGGTCATATCCGGCAATGCACAGGGGTTACTCCTGTCTCATGCAGTCAGGAATTACTACTGGCAGTGTCGGGGGACCATATGGGATGCTGAGAATGGAACCTGGTCAGCTGCATGCAAGGCAAACGCCCTACCTGCTGTGCTAACGCTCCAGCCCCAACAACAAATATATTGATACAGAATACAATCATTGAAACACAGGCAGAATCCATCTTAGTGGCACATGGATAACATGTGAAACCAAGTCAACAAATAGACACAGAAGTTCATTCTATCCCAAACGCGTCCTACAGGGCTAGGATGAAAGAGACGTTACTGGGGCCTGCTCGAGGCAATCGACGAATAACAGGATGATGAAATGAAATGAAATGAAAACAATCATTGAAATTCAAGTAGAGTATGCAACTTTTCAAAGTAAATCATTACTGATCAAATAAAAGGGTGTGCAACCCAGGCTATTGATGCTGCAAGAAAGGGAAATAAACAGAAACCAACACAAAGGGAGGGGCGGATGGAGCAGTGAGCACATGCCAAGGCTGGGGGGCCTGAACTCAACTCCTGCCACTGCATGGCTACACAACAGAGAACGGTGCTGGGGGAGCCCCTCCCGCATTTCAGGAAAACAGAGACAAAAAAGAAAAAAAAGGACACTAAAAACTGTCTAATAAACTGTACTATGTCACAGCCTATGACTAGAGCTGAAAATCCACCACAGAACATTAATACTGCAAGCCTTTTTAAAGCAAAGGAAGACCTGACATTTAAAAGATGATTTTGAAATAATAATGAAAGGAACACAACCTTAGGAATTTGGGTCTAAACATTTTCTGGAACATGTAAAGGAGTTTACTTTCTTGTGATAAAAAGTCTTGAAAGTTTCTTCTTTTTTATTTTATAATTCATCATTTGCATATAGAAAGGGACCAATGTTTAGAAATGCTAATCCCACTAACACCAAATTTAGAAATGAAGAAAGTAACTTCTGTCACTTTAAAACAGAAATTCTTATCTTTTTTTCCCCTGAGAAATAGCATTTACTCTAAAATATACTTTTAATTAAAATGCATTTACTATTTATAAACCCTTAATAACATTTAATATGTTTAATATTTTCAGCATAATTTCAATGTAGTGCTTATTGTGTTGCTTACTGTGTTTGATGTTGATATAATTACATACAGAACTAAGAATACTGAATTTGGTTCTACATAAATATCCATGAGATACCAAATGAGATAGCTAGCAACAGCATAGGGCTGGACAGAGAATACAGCTAGTGAGATGCTTGACTTGCATGTGACTGACCAAGGTCCCATCTCTGGCACCACAAATGGTCTCCCAAACACCACCAGGAGCCATGGATCCCTGACAGAGCCAGGAGTATGCTCTGAGCACTGCTGTGCGATACCCCGTCTCCCACCATCTGCAGAATGGGTCTGGCTTATGACATTTCCTTATAGTTCTCAAATAAATGTTTTGGAGCGATAGCACAGTGGTAGGGCGTTTGCCTTGCACGCAGTCAACATAGCCGACCCGAGTTCGATTCCTCTGCCCCTCTCGGAGAGCCCGGCAAGCTACCGAGAGTATCTCGCCCGCACGGCAGAGCCTGGCAAGCTCCCTGTGAAGTATTCGATATGCCAGACACAGTAACAACAAAGTCTCCAATGGAGACGATACTGGGCCCGCTCGAGCAAATCGACGAACAACGGGAGGGCCTTTACCTTTACCTTTTTATCACAATCAAAAGACTCCCCTTTTATATCAATCCTAGACACTTGAGACAATACAGCAACTCACTCTTTCAAGGAGTGAATGCCATTATGGTTAGGACTATGGAGAACTATAAAATACCAAAAATATATTGTTTTGAAAAATTAACGTCAGGCTATGAAGACATGAGATAAATTTCATTTACTAATTTATTTTTATCCTGCATAATTGTAGTAAATATTAACATGTAAATTTACTTTATTACTCAGAAAAATTATAGCAATAAATTACAGGAAAATTGCATCGTTACATGTTTTAGCAGTTCTGTCAGTTTTAAATATGATTTCTGTTAATCTAGCAGAAATCATCTGTTACACTGTTGAACCACCTACCCCTGCATCACACACAACTGTTAAAATGTAAATTGCCCAACTATTTTTAGCTGCTGCTGAAAAAAAAGTTCCTGTCTTTGGGAATAATGATTTGAAGCATTGTGTTCATTTTGTTTATCAAGCAGCTCTTCAGCCTCTTGTGGGCCCAAGTGCTTATGCAAGCAAAAGCTTTCAACACTGCGGCAGCTGCAATTCACCCTTGCAGGTAGGCTGCAGGTTCCGAGACAGCTGCCTGGCTGCAGGAGACTGAGCTCCAGCTGGAACCGACTTGCAAATTCAAGTTTTCTTGCCTCACACAGAAGAGAAGGCAGAGGAAGAACATAGGAAATGGGGAAGGCAAACAACCCCAAAGATGTTATCTCTACTCCAGCCTGAGTAAGAAATAAGCTCAGACCCCCACTTGCCAGGGCGGATATTCCACTCAGCATACACTTCGAGGAGCTGTGACGCATCTGGCAGCACCTGCGCCCCCGTGTTAAGTACAGCCAAATAAAAGCCCAGCACCCATTTACACAACAAAGAGATGGCCCCTACAAGGCAAGGGGCCTCAACCCAAAGCTAACTCCTCATGAGGGGAGGGAGAGGGGGTGCCTCTTGCTCAGGGGATTTTAATATGATGCAGGTTCATTTACAAATAATTTTACCCTTCATAAGAGTAAAGTACATTTAATAGCACAAACACCCTACATCATTGGATTATCATGGCCATTAATGACTGTTCACCAAACCTTTCCAATCTCTTTCATGAAAGCTCTTTATTCTCAAAGGATACATTTTTGAGCAAAGAGGGATCACCAAACTAGTTGCCTGAAAGCTTTCCTGATGCTAGGCTGAAGTTAGGAAAAGCTTAATGAAGGTTTTAAAATCCACTAGGGCTTCACAATGAACATCTGACTTGGTGATTTATGCATATTAATAACCTCAGTTCTATCGAGGCAAGCTGAGCTGAGTATGTCCTCCGAATCTTAATGTCTCTAGCTCCACTGGGATTATTACAAATGTAAATTTCTAAGATTCTCAGCTATTAATCTCTGTCTGTCCTCCTGTTCAGCAACATAATGACTAATTAAACATCAAAAGACCTGTACATGAGATCCTCTTTGACAGCTACCGGCCTAGTCCTCTTCCCAAGAGGGGAATTCAAGTGACAGGGACATGCAGAAAGAGCATAGGAGAAAACTACAAATCACTGCAGAGAAATCCAAACACCAAACATGAGGCGAAGATCGATCCTAATCAATGATTCTGTTAAGCAGCGCACAGCTATTTTATGAAGAATGCCCACTGGCAACAACTGAACATATCCTTTAGGCAGTAAATACTGAGTGCCTGCCTGAAATCTGTTTATACCGGTAAGAATGTTTGTACTTACGGAAGAAGGCAATCCAGGAGGCACCTTTCTGACTTTCTTTGCTTGTAAGGGATCTGCAAGTGAAAAAATGTTTTCCCATCAGCATTGCTATTAGAAAAGACTTTAAATAAATAGGAAATAGTTTTCTTTATAATGCCTTTTTAGTATTTAGACGCAAAGAATATAGTGATGTAGTCTCAATTCCTAATAGCATCAGATTCTAATAACATGATATACTATCACTTTATTGTGAAAGTGACAAAGTTTGAAATACATTTTCGTACGTTTGGCATACAAAGTAAAATTAAAAGACAATAAGCATGTGTCGGGGAAAAAAAGAGTTTAAGAATCTATTAAGTATCTACTGTGCCAGGTATTATGCTAATAAGCATTTTACATCATTTAACTCAGGTTCACTTGCCTCATGGGGCATTTGGTGCAACAGGTTATTTTAAAAAATGAAACACAAATTTAGTGTTCGGATGGTCAGGCACAGGTAAGGCATGGCCTCGGCCTCTGGGCGGCTCCGAATTAAATTCTATTTACTCACATCCTTCCAATGGTGTCCTTAGTCATTTTTTTTTTTTTGGGGGGGAGAGGTGGGCGTTAAAAAGATAATGCTAATCCTTAACAAAACTCATCTTTTTAGTATTTGCTTCATAATAACCATCTATTTCTTTCATACTTAGACTGAGTCTGTAAACCAATACATTTGCTAGCTTTCCTAGTATAAGAACATAAAAACCATAAGCAGTACTTTAACAATGTGTTGATTAAAACTGCACCTTTAACACTCTGTACAAAATTTCCTTGGACTTTTGGTAATTTATTTCTAGAAAATAAAGTACATTTATGAGACAAAATAATTTATTAATACAAATGTGAATATGGGTTTTCTCATGTCAATCAGCCTTATTCAGCTTTTAATGTCATTTACCTATAAACTAAAAACAAAAACTGTTTACCTTGCTTTATAAAAAATGTGATAAGAACAGTTTTTAATATACAAATAATGAACCAAATTCAGCATTTTGGAGTTCACTATCAAAAAGCATGGGCATATGAAAAGGCTGATATGAGAAGACATATTAAATTTGGTTTTTGGCAGCTTTGGGGATGGAACCTAGGTTTCAGACATGCAATACATGTGCTCTGCTGCTGAGCAACATTCCAGTCTGATATAGTAGTTCCAAAATGCATAAAGATGATAATTAAGCAAGCATGGTATTTTCCTGGATGACAAATGAAACAACACAGGAAGACATGCAACTTTTTAACAAAGAAGGAAGTGGGCAGGAGGTAAGTCAAAGGACTGAAATACGTGTAAGAGGCCAGGTTAGATCTCCAGCACTGCATGGTCTCAGGAGCACAGAGCCTGAACAGTGGGGAAGAGAAAGAAAAAAAGAGAAAAAGAGTGAAAGATATAAAAAGAAACAATATAGGGGCCTGATATTTGTATAGGGAATAAAACAGGAGGCTGAGAAGAGGGAGGAAGAGAGGGAGGGAGAGAAGGAGGAAGAGAGGGAGGAAGGAAGGGAGAGAAGGAGGGAGGGAGGAAGGGACGGAGAGAAGGAGGGAGGGAGGGAGGGAGGAAGGGAGGGAGGAAGGGAGGGAGGGAGGGAGGGAAGAATGAAGCGAAGGAAGGAAGGAACGAAGGAAGGAAAAGAGAAAGAAAAACAAGTAGTCGGAAGTTTTACCAAATAAAAGGGGAGAAAGTATTACTTAGCATTATATCCCTATCTCAAGAAGAACCTACACTTTTTGAAAACAAAAGTGCCAAAGATCAATAACATCTAGAACACTTCAGTAAGAAACTTGCAGGCAAAAATTTTGTTATTCAGGAGGATTTTCTTGAACTCTTATGTACCTAAACGTTCCGATATCCCTGATGAACACAGATGCAAAGATTCTCAACAATATATCAGTAAACAGAATCCAATGTCTTATCAAAAGGATCATACACCATGACCAAGTGGGATTCATCCCAGAGATGCTAGGATGGTTTAACATTTGCAAGTCAATCAACATAATTCGTCATATCAATAAAAGAAAAGATAAAAAAAATCCCACATGATCATATCAACAGATGCAGAGAAAGCATTTGACAAGATCCAGTACCTGGTTATGATGAAAACTCTCAAAGATGGAACTTGAAAGAACTTTGTTCAGATAGTCAATGCCACAAGCTTATGGCAAGCATTATTATAAGTGGGGAAAAACTAGAAGCCTTCCCTCTAAGATTAGGGACAAGACAGGGTGCCTACTCTCCCCACTTCTATTCAATATAATACCAGATGCATTTGCCATAGGGAAGAAAAAGACTTTAAGGGCATCCAGATAGGAAAGAAGTCAAACTCTCACTGGTTGCAGATGACATAGTACTATACTTAGAGATACCTAAAGCCTTAAGCAAAAAACTCCTAGAAATAATAAATTTGTATAGAATGACAGGAATACAAAATAAATACACAAAAGTCCACAGCTTTCCTCGAGCTCGAGGAAAGCTGTGAACTTTTGTGTATTTATTTTGTATTCCTGTCATTCTATACAAATTCCTATATATAAATAATGAAAGAAGTGATATTAAAAAAAAGCCCTGCTTGTAATCATGCCTCAGAAAATCAAGTACATTGGAACCAGCTTAGCTAAGGAGGTAAAGGACCGGTTCAAAGAAAACTACAAAATTCTACTTCATGAAATAAAAGAAGACACAAGGAAATGGAGACACATACCATGCTCATGGATTGGGAGAATTAACATTGATAAAATGGCAATACTCCCCAAAGCATTATACAGATTCAATGCAGTTCCTGTAAGGATAACTATGACATTTGTCAAAGAAATAGATAAAACACTCCTGAAATTCATATGAAGCAATAAACCCCCATGAATAGCTACAGCAATCCTTGGAAAAAAGAGGATGGGAGTCATCACCTTCCCCAACTTCAAACTGTACTACAAAGCAGTGGTAATTAAAACAGCATGGTATTGGGACAAAAACAGACCCACAAACTAATAAAATAGGATTGAATATCCTAACACACACAAAACATATGATCATTTACTCTTCAATAAGGGAGCAAGAAATGTGAAGTGAAGCAAAGAAAGTTTCTTTAACAAGTTGTGCTGGCAAAACTAGACAGCGACATGCAAAAAAAAAAAAAAAGACTCAGACCTCTATCTAATGCCATGCACAAAAATCAGATCAAAATGACCTCAACATCAGAACTGAATCCATAAGGTACAAGGAAGGAAAGGTAGGCAAAACCCTTCACAATACTGAAGCTAAAGGCTTCTTCAAAGATGGAAGGCCACTGACCAAGCAAGTAGAAGCAAAGATAAACAAATGGGGCTACATTAAACTAAGAAGTTTCTGCACATCAAAAGAAACAGTGAACAAAATACAAAGACAGCTTTGGAACGGGAAAGGATATTCACCCAAAACCCTTCTGATAAGGGGTTAATATCAAAGATATACAAGGCACTGGTTGAACTTTACAAGAAAAAAAGTATCCAAAAAATGGAGAGAAGAAATGAACAGAATCTCATCAGGGAGATGCAAATCAAAACAACAATGAGATACCATCTCACACCACAGAGACTGGTACACATCCAAAAGAACAAGAGCAACCAGTGCTGACGTGGGGAGAAAGGGACTCTCCTTTATTGTTGGTGGGTATGCCAGCCTTTCTGGAAAATAGCATGGGCATTCCTCAAAAAAAACTAGAAATTCAGCTCCCATGTGACCCAACAATACCACTGCTGGAAATATACCCTGGTGGCTCAAAAACACACAGTAGAAACAATATCTACACCTGTATGTTCATTGCAGCAGTAGTCACAATAGCCAGAATCTGGAAACAGCCTGATTACCCCAGAACAGACGAACGAATAAAGCAACTATGGCACATCTATTCAAAAGAACACTACTCAACTGTTAAGAAAAATGAAGTCAAGAAATCTGCCTACAAATGGATGGACTTGGAGAATACTATGCTGAGTGAAATGAATCAGAAAGCAAGGAAGACATATAGAATGACTGCATTCATTGATGGCATAGTTGAAGACATATCCACGGCTAGGGAAAACAGGGTCTAGGAGGACTGGTCAATGGCTGGAATCAACCACACTGTGTGTGGGGCAGAGGGTAGGTAAGATAGAGAAGGGAGCAGGATGACAATAATAGCTGGAAATGATCATGCTGGACAAGTACTGAGGGTTAAAAGTAAAGGGATACACTGGGTAACCTTTCAGAATCTGTACTGCCAACCACAAAGCCCAGAAGGGGGGTGGGAGAGAGGAAGAGAGGGAAAGGAGAGAGAGATAGGAAGAGGGAGGGAGGTAAGACAGAGAGGGAGGGAGAGAGAAGGAGAGAGAGAGAGGAGAGAGAGAGAGAGAGAGAGAGAGAGGAAAATGCCTGCCATACAAGTAGGTTGGGGAGGGGGAGGTGATGGGAGGAAAACATGTATGTGCTGGGAAATGTACACTGTTTGAGGGATGGTTGTTGGAACACCGTATGGCTGAAACCAAATTCTGAACAACTCTGTAAAGATCTATCTCACAGTGATTCAATAATAAAATCTTTAAGAAAATGTTCCTAAACTTTTATGGTGTATCACGCTCCATTCAGAATCTCTCAGTAGCCCCTTGGATATCTACCTTTTTCCTTTTTAAAAGTTTTTTGACCACACTCTTCTGTGTTCAAGGTTTCTTCTGGCTCTGCACTTAAGGGATCACTCCTGGAGATGCTCAGGGGACCATATGGGACACTGGGGATTGAACCCAGGTCAGCCGTGAGTAAGGCAAATACCCTACTAGCTGTACTATAGTAGAGTGTTTGACCTTGGCCCTGAAACCTATTCCTGAAGTTAACAAATTGCCCCCAGTTGCACTGGAAACCAATACCACTGGCTCTGAATTCCAAACTCACTGACAGCACTACCATGTTATCTCCCTTCTCAAGGGAGAATAGAGAGAACTGTCTGCCAAGGAAGAGGACTGCAAGAAGTTTCTACCCCAACATATGACTCTACTAGCTTTTAGTTAGAGAATCTAATACACGCAGTCAGTACTTGAATCTTGTGGTGGGGACTGGCATCTCTACAAGCCTGTCATCCTCATTTTTGCTTTCTCTGAATATAGTTTTGCTTGCACTGCTTAACTAGCCTAAGACTTGTTTTCAGTGCTATGGACAAGAACCACCAAAGATCACCAAAACAAAGGAGGGGTCTGTTGGGGCAGCACTGGGTGAGAGAGAGGTGGGTGGGAATTCCCACCCAGACACAGACTAAAAGTTTTCTATGGTGACAGTGACACCTTTGGATTCAAATGGTTGCCCTCACCCTGATTTACTAATCTGATGGGAAATAAAAGTAGAGATGAGAGAAAAACATTTTCTGATTGATCATTTCTTTCATTATACAAAATATACTGGTTTAAATGGTCTAATCTGATATGTGCTAAGCCACACATAACACTGAACGATGCTGAATGTGACAACCCATCACTGGTCACTTTCAGGCATATTCTAGACAGATTTTAGGGACATTCAATAAAAATACAGGTTTGACAGAAGGTAGCTATATAAATCAGGAACACTCAACAAATAGCTGTGAAAAAAAAATAACCACAACGCATTTTCTTTTGATGCTGTTATATTCATTTGAGAAGCTGGTCTATCCTTAAACATGCTTTACAACATCACTGTTTTTCTAAGAAAGATGAAAAAATTTCTTTTTCCAGTTTTGGCAGTGCTGAAGACAAATCCAAGGCGCCACACATAGGAAGTGTGGCTACACTCAACACAACCACTGGCCTCAATTCCTGGTTTAGAAAGGTTTCTTTGGTGAGAAACATAAAAGTTCCCAAATTAAACATTTGGATAAGGTAGAGTACACCTGAGGCTTGCTATGAGCAGCAACATTAAACAGACTGCCTGGTTAGCAGTGCAGAAGGGCAAGGAAGGCCCCCCCCCCCCCCCCCAAAAGGAACAACAATAACTAAAAACCAAAATTCAAAAATGGTAACTCCCAAAAGAAGGCTGAATGCTTACCAAGAACAGCATTTCATTCTGAGATCACAAGTGATATTTTGGAATTCAGTAGAGACAACTTCACAGCACTCAATGTCATCGAATTACATTGTTTAATATGATGATTAACATATTAAAACAAGTTAAGAGCACACACAATCAACAGGCTAAGAGCACTGGAGTTAGAAAATCTTTTATGCTGTGATTAAGAGTCTTTGTCATGACTCAGCTGCAGGCTCAGTGCTAGGACCTGATGCTCAGCCTGACTGAGTTCTGTGGTGCCGGGGGCCTCTCGGGCCACACTCAATACTGCTTCTCCCAGTCTCAGAAAAATCTTCAATTTTATCCTGGACAAATCACCTACTAACATGTAAGTATGCCCTCTAAATCTAAGATTATGCCCATGGACCAGCAGGATATTTGATGAAATAAGTTTATATATATTAAAAAAACCCACCTCGGGGTCCTGAGTATAGCCAGTAGGGCACTTACCTTACATGGTGGCAACCCTTGTTTAATTCCCCACACCACCAGCCAAGCTGGGTTAGACCTCCAGAACTGAATATGCCTTCCTGAGTTTGACAGGAAGTAACCCCTGAGTACAAAGCCACGAGTTTACCCCGAGCACAGCCAAGTACAGCTTAAAAACAAACAAACAAACAAACAAAAACACCTATAAAATGTAAAACATTGTATCTTTTCATAGATATTAACTAAAAAATTAATATTAGCAATGGCATTTTTTCAAAGAAAAAATGAATTCCAATGTTAACGTTCTTTTTTTTTTAAATTGAATCACCATGAGATACAGAATTACAGGGCTGATCAGGATTGAATTTCAGTCATAGTGTTCCAACACCCATTCCTCCTCCAGTGCACATTTTCCACCACCCATATTCCCAGTTTCCTTCCTGCACCCCCCGCAGCCTGTCTCTACGGTAGGTTCTCTGCCCCCAGCTCCCCTTTGGGGGCATTATGGTTTGCAATACAGATTAAGGTCCATTTTTCACTAAGTAGCCTATTTATATAAAATGGATAAGTAAGAATAAAACTGCTTTTGCTATGTTTAAATTATGCTTAGAGGTTGAAGTAATTAAAGAGTAGTTCTAAGTTATTTAGGGCCTAATAGCAACAACTTATGATATTTATAAGAATAAGAACTTTTCTAATTTCACTTATTAAAAATGAAGCAATTAAGTATTCAAATCAACATGAAAATAACTGCCTTCTAGTGAACAGTGCGTCACACTATAAACTCAGGTGGAAGCACTGTGTGCTGGCGCTCACCAAGTGCTGTGGGCTCAGGGAGTGGTCTTCTCCGGGAGCTCGTGGCCGAGAACGAGTAGTATGGCGTCCCAGGTTTTCCTGAAGAAGAAAGTTGTGCTGGGCTTCCAAGCCCCAGATCTTGTCTCAGGAGACTAGACTGTGAAACAAGTCCAAGGAACCAAGTTACCTTCCCATTGAGACAGATAAAACCTGAAAAGTCGATCGTTTAATTATTTATAATACACTCAGTCATGGTGTACACTTAGAATCTGTGTTCTTTCTCAACACTAGTTGAAACCGATTTTTTTCTATTACTTTCCAGTAACTGTAGATCCATGCAATTTTAGATTAGAAGGCACTTCAGATAGTATGAGATTCTACCTTTTAATAATAGTTATTTTGAAAAATGGCCATTTTTGAATGTTTTATGATCACCCAACACATTTAATGATGGTTAGCTGCCACTGTTTAAGGAATGCTTCTTTCCCACCCCACCTCCTCTCTCCCTCTCTCCATTCCTTCTTTCCATCACACCTTTAATGCTCAGCATTTCCTCCTGGCTCTATGCTCAGGGATCACGCTGCAGGTACTCCAGAGGCAGTATGGGGTGCTGGAGATAGACCAGGCCCAGCTGCACGCAAAGAAAGTGCAGGACCAGGTGCCACTATTCTTTTTTTCTTTTTGGGTCACACCTGGCGATGCTCAGGGGTTACTCCTGGCTCATGCACTCAGGAATTGCTCCTGGCGGTGCTTGGGGGACCGTATGGGATGCTGGGAATCGAACCTGTGTCAGCCATGTTGGCTGCGTGCAAGGCAAACGCCCTACCCGCTATGCTATCGCTCCAGCCCCAGGTGCACTATTTTTAAGACTAGCTGTTCCTGCTTTCTTCAATGGTGTCTCCTGATTTTTTTTCAATGGTGACATGAAATTGTCCTTGTCTCCATTCTTGTTCTCTGGATTTATTTTCCAGAGAAATTTGTGAAAGTCTTATAAAATGGAATGAAGAACAATGCTTCAAAGTGCCCTGATGGGTAGAGAACAGGTTTCAAAATTACATTTAAACAACCAATTTGTGCAGCTCATATAAGCCCTGAGTGGTGAAGAGGGATCACACTCTTATTCTTCAGGGTGGGACGGGAGAGGGTAGGGGTATGGGCTCACTCCTGGCTCTGTGCTCAGGGGTCAATCCATGGGGTACTTGGGGGGACCATATGCAGTACCTAGAATTGAACTGGGGTTGGCCTGGGATAACCCTTGTCTTATCTCTCTGGCCCAGCACAATCTTTTAATTTCTCTTATTTTATGGGTCTCACAACTGATTCTCAGGAGGTCCAGGGCCTCTTCTGGTAATGATCAGCCCCCAGGGCCAGTGGTTCCCTGCTGGAGATGGAGGAGGGAGGGCTGCTCACTTCCTTCATTGCAGAGATTGCTCTCCCCCGACTCCCAGGTGCTTGGGGACCTTCAGTGCTGATCTGGCGTACTTGGGGGGTGGGGTGTTGTAGTAGTAAGAATGGAACCAGGATTGGGCGCATGCAAGTGTTTTAACCACTGGAATGTCTCTCTGGCCCTGGGATCATTCCCTCCCAATGATATCTTGGTCAGTTGTGTTTTTTGTCCCAAGACCATGTTTATCTCTAATAAAAAAAAACACTTTTCTTTTTCTTTCTGTGGCCATAGCAGATTATGTTCAAGGATCATATCATCAAGGATCACTCTGGCTCTGAGGCTCAGGGAACCATATGTAATGCCAAAGATTGAACACACGTTGGTTGTGTACAAGGCAAGAATCTTACCTGTTATGTTATTTCTCTCTGGTCCCCAAATTTGTATGTTTGTATCTGATTCATAATAACATTCCATTTTTTTTAATATTCAGAGACTGCCAACTAATGCATTTGCTAACTTCAGGCATCAAATATAAATTATTTAGAATAAATTTTGAAACTGGAAAGTGTGAGTATTAGAACCTTATTATCCTTCAACATTACTTTGGTTATTTGATACACTCCTTGAAACTCTAAACAACATCATTACAATTTTGATAGGGATCACATGGAATCTGTAAGTTGCTTGGTGAAGTACAGTGTACATGGGTTTTCTTTTGAGTACTGAGTTCTGCTTCCAAACCCCAAAGACATGCATGTTCATTGGCATATCTAAATTGTCCCAATCTGGGGCTAGGCTGGGGGTGAGAAGAGGGAGGAGAGAGACAGAGTGTACATACTCTGCATTTCTGCATTTGAAAAGCATCTTGTCCAGGGTTAGTTCTTGCCTTTTGCCCTGACAAGATAAACTATGGTAATCTGTGACCTAAACTGGAATACACAGATTGGAGAGCGAGTAATGAATGGATATAAATTATAATATAATATTAGAATTGCTTTTTCCTCCCCCTCCACCCCGTGCCAGGTTGTCTTCACCGGGCCCCCCTCAGAGGGCTGCGGGTTGAGTTTCCCTCCCCGCCTGAGCAGAGCCCCGGCAGCCAAAAACCTTCAGAACCCAGCCACAGCTATTCTCAAGGCCACTCTCCACATGCTTGGATGAGCCTCATCCATGAAGCATCTGGCAGAGGAACCCAGGTATGCGGGACTTGGGACTGAGATCTCCAAGCCTGCTCGAATCAGGACTGGGCCTCCTCCACCGAGATCCCCAGTTTTCCAGTAGCTTGGCAGTTATACCCACAAACTGCCCCTGGCGCCATAAAATGCCATCAACAAATCCCATCAACGGCCAAGATCCAGAGACTATAAAAAAAGGCTCCAGAAGAGAGCGATGCAATTTCTTCCTCTTGGAGAGCCCGGGAAGCTACTGAGAATATCCTGCCCATACAACAGAGCCTGGCAAGCTACCCGTGATGTATTTGATATGCCAAAGACAGTAACAATAACGGGTCTCAGTCCTGTGACCCTGAAAGGGCCTCCAATATGCCACTGGGATACACTAGCACGTGACAGGGACGAATGGAGACATTACAGGTGCCCACTCAAGGAAACTGATGAACAACGGCACAACAAGTGATACAAGTGGTAGAATTGCTTTGGCTATTAATTCAGAAGTTTGGTGGTATTTCTGTAACCAAAATCAAATTCCACAAAAGTTTAACACAGGTTTATACCTATTAAACTATTGTACAACTGGTTTATTATGCCACCTTTTTTTTTTAAATCAAAAATTCTAATGACGTGCTTTTAAGTGATTACTAGTAATTCACTATTTAAGTCATTTGGTCCTGAGCTTTTCTTTTTTGAGGAGATTTTTATAGCCGATTGAATGCTTGTTTCAATTCTGTTCAAATTTTCTATTTCTTTTGGTCAGTAATAGCCTATATTTCCAAGAATTTGATTGTTTTCTTCTTTTTTTTTTGGCTTTTTTTGTCACACCCAGCGATGCTCATGGGTTTACTCATTCTGCACTCAGGAATCATTCCTGGCAGTGCTTGGTGGACCATACAGGATGCTGGTGATTGGACCTGTGTTGATTGCACGCAAGGCAAATACCCTACCCACTGTATTATAGCTTTGGCCAGTGTTACAAACTTCTAGTTCCAAGTGAAAAACCCTGTATGCCTAGAATCAAAGCTGACTGTGTTGCCATTCCCAATGACTGTGGTAGCTGAAAACAGAAAACAGAAAAGAGAATAGACAGACTGCTAGAGTTGACAATTAGGGGTCAAACCCAAAGAGGAGTGTGACAGATTCAAGCTGTATAAATCTAGATCAAGGACAGAAAAATACCAATTTATTTTGAAATGATTGCTCAGAAGGGCTGGAGCGATAGCACAGTGGTAGGGCGTTTGCCTTGCGTGCAGCCTGCCCGGCCGAGCCGGGTTTGATTCCTCTGTCCCTCTCAGAGAGCCCGGCAAGCTACCTGTGACATATTCAATATGCCAAACACAGTAGCAACAAGTCTCAAAGTGGAGACGTTACTGGGCCCGCTCGAGCAAATTGGTGAACAAGGGGAGGACAGTGACAGTGACAGTGAAGTAAATCAGAATAAACACCAACAGCGCATTAGCATATTTGTACCTAATAACAATCCTAGTTATTATGTACTGCAAGTATTACATGGACTTTTGTGTTAAACGCAGTGTATCTTTCTATGTAATACATACATAGAAAACAGTAGGACCTGAATCTGAACCTCTTTCCTCAATGATATGAAGATTCCTTTAAAATTCACATGAGATAAATGAAAGCATATACAAAGACGACTAGATAAAGAAATAGTATAGGGACTCCTCAGACTACTTACTCTGCCATAAAGCGAAGTGAAAGACAATTGCACTCTACCCTAGGGTTTTACTCATGTGGAATATGGATAACTAAAGCAAATGAACTGGCAAAAAGTGACAAAACTCTTTAGGTTTGATTAAAATGATGGGGCTGATGGAAGGGGAAGGAGGAGAATGAGCAGAGTGTGACAACTTGCAGTTTTTGGGGACCTTGCACAGTTTCAGGGACTTAAACTGGGGTTGGCCACACGCAAGGCAAGTACCTTACCCAGCCCATTCCTATGGGCAGTGTGGTCAACCTCAATAGAGTAACGTTCTTCAACCTTTCTTATCTGTGGATCTGTGGTTATAACCAAGGTGGGAAATCAGTGATTGTCATCCTTTCTATACCTGTGGAGTTGCCAGTCTGTGGGCTGTGGTTGAAGACCACTGTTTATAGGCAGTAAGGTAGCATAAAGTTTAAAGATGTGATACTCATCCTCCCAAATTCTGTAACATTGTAAATCAACAATAAATCAATAAAGAAAATTTTTTGTAAAAAAGCAGATTTCTAGAACAGTAGAGAAATTTAATTATCATTTTTATAAGATTATTAACATGCAGAGATCCGACACTGTCCAGATCACATGGCTGCTTCTCCTGGAAGGGAGCATAACATGAGGCCCCCATAGCCATGCCACTGGATGCACCAGGCTGTTTCACACAGGGCGCCCCAGAGAGGGGCAGGTGAGAGCCCTCCCCACCCCAAGGGACCCAGCTCTGGCTGCCAAAATACTCCACAACCCAACTGCTACCACGCTCAAGGCCACTTCCCACATACTCCAGCCGAGCCACATATATGAGTAAACAGATTTCTGACACATCAGAAGACACTCCCTACCCATTCTCCATAATTACCATACCACATATGATGGGGTTGACAGTA